TGTATGATTACGTAAATTTGAAGCATGCGTTTTAAATAATGGAGGGACTTTCGAACAATTTATCGAGTAACTTATATTTGTGATTTTGTAAATAAAAAATGTGTGGATTATCGCGATTTTTATCTGGATGGCATTGTAGTGCTTTCTTCCGATATGCCGTTTTCATCTGATTGAAATAGCAAATATGAATAGTAATACGTCATGAGTGATTAGAAATTGACTTCCCTCTTTTTCAGTAGCTGACTGTTTGATTCCAAGTATCCCATAAACATCTAAATCTTTCAAATCGGAATCTATAATATGAAGTATAATATATGAATTCTGTAACAACAAGTAAATACTATAAGAATATATTTTATGTTACGAGTCGTGTAAGCGTGTTACACACTAACTAACCAATTACAACAGTCAGTAGCTGACTGTTTGATTCCAAGTATCCCATAAACATCTAAATCTTTCAAATCGGAATCTATAATATGAAGTATAATATATGAATTCTGTAACAACAAGTAAATACTATAAGAATATATTTTATGTTACGAGTCGTGTAAGCGTGTTACACACTAACTTACCAATTACGTCCAACAATAAATATCATAATAATCATAATATTAATAATTATGAAAATGTACCAAAAATCAAAATGGCGAATTTTCCTCATTGATATCAGTTGATGCATGACAGCAAAATTATGTCCCTCGATACTAACTCGCAATGTGGCGATTTTTCGTTTTGGTTTCCAAAACTAGCATTTAATTACGGTGGGAAATTTAAAATTGAATGCCAGCTCAAATTGTTAATCAGAGGTCCGCGCGTCGCGTTATTATCGATTAGTTGTGAAACGCACCAGGTGTGTATTCGCCATAGGATTAGATTTATTAGATTGTTAAATTGTAAGAACAAACATTGATATTAAATTTTGATGTATAATTAACTCATAAGTTGTTAATATGTATTATGTAAAATGTATAGTTTATTAACTGAGGGAAAGGAATGTAACAGTAGGTACCTATATAACTGTATTAATAATAATTATTTATTGTCTATTATTTATTAACTATGTTATTGTTTAGAAAGTAAGGTTTAATTGTTATTGTGCAAGCAAACATATTTTCCAAGTAAATAAATGCACCACTATGTATTACCTAAACTCATATCTCGTGTACCCTTTATTACAACCGATATTTGAGTGTAACGAGACATATATATGTATCGTTATACTCAAATTTGTTTCTCATGAAGCCTGAATATTTTAATTATATATAAATATATAAAATATAATGAATTTAATTCCTCATGTATAAATGCGTAATCGTAAAAACTATACGATTTAAAATGGCTCAAGTTTCGAAATAATGCATATATTTTCCAAAAAACGTAAAGTATATAGTAACACTAGCGGATGCAGTCGTTTAATCGAGCCACTCATTTTCATATGCATGCACTCAATAACTTATATTAGCTATTAATTCTCAATGTTCCTTCCCAATTGTTATACAGGATTTGGACTGACAACAAATTATCATTGTTGGATTGGTTAAAAATTGTTTTTTTTTTCTAAATAACATGTATATACTCAATGCATACGACAGTGGCGTATATACGAATTATTTTCACTATGTGCCAATTTATCGGCTAGGGAGATGGGTGGTCATAATTATGACATGTACAGTACAAATAAAAATTGAGCAAGTCAATTATATAATTATTATGTAAAATTAATTTGTTGGTTCTTTTTTTATAGATATTGACAGTGCCATTTATACATTTTAATGTTATCTAACATGTTACTCTAACTTTTCCTTGTTGATTCCTCAAAAACGATTTTAATCAACCGGCTAACTTAATCATGGTGAAAAACTGTAAACAGTATACACGCATTGCTTTAATTGAACCTGCAATTTCACTATGGGCTCTGGCCCAGGGGGCCTCCCCCCTATATACGCCACTGCATACAGATATAGTCAATACTCAATATTTTTTTTGTTCATATAAAAATAAAACACAATATGAATTGACGCGGTCCCGCGTAATGGCAGTTTGGATTCAAAAAGCCTTTACGCGACACCCGCGCCATGAACCGTCGGCCGGCCGTTCGGCGAACCGGCTTGCTGAAGTCACTGGTTTTTCTAAACGACCCGGGGGCCAATTCTTGAAATCGTGATAAACTTTGTCGCATGCGATAAACATTTTATCGCATGAAAATAAATATTTGGTATTCTTGAAAAAAGGTATGACTGTAATCGAACGAAAAACATTCGACTATTTGTCGACTGGGTAAAACTCGGTGACAAGACTATATCGCATGATAATTTATAAATATATGTCATACCAATAATCATTTAATAATTTTAATTTGATAACAATTAACAACTTAAATCTATATAATGTTGTATTGTGATTTGTGGTCCACATTAAATAAATAAATATCAATACAATTTTTTTCCCATTCTCTTTAATATTATAATTATAATGGCCAATTTTGAGGAAATGGCAATGTTGTTTGCTGTTAATAACGTCGAAGAACATCAAAATAATTTCAATAATGCGCATCATGAAAGACAAACACGAAATAAGGAAATGATTACGGATCCATTTAAATTAACCGATCGGTTATTCATAAAAAACTTTCGACTCACTAAAGACGTTGTAAAAGATTTAATTATACTATTAAGTCCCCATTTATCAAATTCTTTCCGTTCATCTGCGATTGATCTGAATACTAAAGTAAGACATAGCCATTGATAGGGAACGGATTTGAATGCAATTGCATTTTTTCTGAATGTCCAAAAACATTGCCAAACATTCCAAGCACAAAGTTAATTTCATACATCAATGAATTAAAAAATGTAACTTAAATCGTACTTTTAAGGTATTTTTCTTGTTTTTTAGAGTATTCAAATCCATAAGCGTGCGCAGAATTTCTGGCAGGGTAGTCATACATAAGTATACATAAGTACATAACACATTAACAGTCCTGTAAAGTATTTGAGTAAAAGTATTCAAATACTTTTTTAAGTATTGAATAACTTTTTAAATACTTTCAGCATGAAGTATTTTGAATGGTATTTTAAATACTTTTTTTTGTATTAAATACTTTTTGGTATTGAATACTTTGGTTTTTTATTTCGAACAATTTATTTTTATTCGAAATAATTTTAGAAATTTTAGAATGAATTAAGAACACAAAATAGGTAGTATCACCAATGGGTGGTTTCTTCCCTCAAAAAAAAAAATTCATACCCAAATACCCTATGCACATTTGCTTATTGTTCTAGTTAAGAACAGATTGTAAATTTCATGTAAAAGTAAAAAAAAAGAATGTAATAAACATTTATTTAATAAATAATAAATAAAAATGATTATAAATTTACTACCTATGTGTCTATATTACAATAATTAGAAACCCACTTTAAAAACCAAAAGTTTTTGAAAAGTATTCCAAAAGTATTTGAGTAGTATTTGAAATACTATACAATTAAAGTATTTGAGTAGTATCTTAAATACTTAAAAAAAATGTATTTGAGTACTTACTCAAGTACTTTTCAAAAGTATTCTTTACAGGACTGCACATTAACACACACACACACACATATTATGTATATATAATATTCATATTCACACCTAAGTTACAAAAACTAATTTTGATGGGGTAACCTCATTTAACTACATTTACCATTGGCCATTAGATCAACCAAATACCTCATCTGGGTTTGAGTTGGTCTCACTTTAGTGTCTTTAGACATTATAATATTACAAATGGTAGTATGGTACTTAGAACAAAATAAACAAAAAAAAAATATAGCAAATACTTAACTGTAAGGTTGTAAAGTTAATCACGGTTTAGAGACTAGTACTATCTAGTACTTCTTATTTAGAACTAGTAAATATTAATATGTAGAATTCCGGATTATTTGAGGTTAAAATCTAGATTTTGTGTTGTTACCACAGTGGTTCATTCGGAATACTTTATCGCATACGACAAGTGATAAAATCTTATCGATTTAGTTCAAGAATACCAATTTTAAGTCGCATGCGATTAAAATTAGTCACCTTCGATAAAATCTGTGACTTTTATCACATGTGAGAATTAGTCGCATAATTTCAAGAATTGGCCCCCCGGACACGGACCTCGACCATAGACCTATAAACTAATGGACTGCACCTCACTCACCACCCAGCCATCAATGAGTGGCGCCAATATAGAGTGAGTGAGAGAGAACATATTGGGGGAATCTTGGTGGACAATCATATAAGAAAAAGAGAGAAAAAACATAATGGGGGAAATCATAGACGTATGAAACTAATACTGTATATCGTACCCCTGACCTCTCTCTCTAAGCGCTGTCCATTAGTTTATAGGTCTATGACCTCGACACCTCGTCACCATAGGCGTGACTAGACTTCATCGGCGCTACCTTATTAGTGAACCGAAAAAAAGCCCTATACACCCAAAGCCTTATTTTTTTAAGCCCCCCTCCCACTCAACAATGAAATATTTATATAATTAAAAAAAAATCCCAAATTATCTATTTACAATAATAATCTACAGTAACTTCAGAAATATTATTAATCTACAGCCTTGGATTACACCACCTAGCTACAAATCAAACATATAATATCAATAATACCTAGATGCGTACCGTACCGTCGTCGTCGTCTGTCTCAAGTTTTTATAGTAGGTATTTCCGATTTCCGAAGTCAGGAAATCAATTTGACAATACATGTTAAATAAAGATATTATCTACCTAATTTTGTTGAACATATCTTTGTAAGGTTCGCTCAAACCGAAGCGGCAGCGGTAGCGAAATTTAATGTCCAAACGTTTTAATACTAGAGCACTAACTAGCGCGAAATTAATACCGCGGCGAAAATGTTACCGCAAGATTGAGCTCGATATTTTTATTTTTCGCTGCAGACACTATATTTTTCGTTTACCGCTGCGATAATCAGTTGTAAATTCCCAACTCATATTATTAATATATTTATCAAACACATATCTATTCTGTATTCATCGTAATCGTGCACCTTAGTATTGGCACACGAAAATGAGTCGTTTCTTTACGTATATCTTCATTAATAAAATTTAAAATTTCATCAAAACAATTTGATGTCATTCGAAAATAAATAAAAAAACGTTTTGCATCATTTCGTAATTGAGGCATTAAATGATTAAATTCACCTAAACTTTCTCTTTGGCTATTAATTTCATGAACCCATTTTCGTCTTTTACGTCTAAAAATTAAATATTACATGATTTTTTTATTATTTGTTATTGTAACAGCACAAACTGTACTTAAAAACAGTTGTAGCTAATATTTTATAATTAGGGTTAGGATGTTGATGACTTTCGTCGTCTTTCGTTTGATACCATCACACATATTTTAATTGTGCAGTACAATGCAATATGAATCTTCACATCAAAACGACTAAAAATTACATCAACATATTCAACATCCTAACTCTAATTATAATATATTATAATTTTTTGAGATCTATAAGTCCCTAAGCCTAATTATAATCCTATGGTACCTTTTTTGTTCTTCATCATCCATTACAGCTGCTAACAGTAATACATCTTCTTCATCTGAACTTGAGTTTTCATAATAAATATCCATGGTATGATAACAAATTTAAAAAAAATATAGAAATATGTTGTTTTGTACTTTTAAATATTAATATTAGTAAAAAAAAATATAATACGTAATAACAAAATACATGCACGCACACGGGTGTCACAATGTCGACTAGTAATTTTTGGCGAAATATTTCGCTCCGGTTAGGTTAGATCAGCGGTATTTTAAAAGCGATAAATACCGCTGCCGCTACTGCTACCGCTGCCGCTTCGGTCTAATTAAACGGCTATTATAACGGTACACATAAAAAAAATAGTTAAAAAAAAAAAAAATGTTGTGACCCTTCTGATTTAAAACTCAGTTGACCGGCACCATTGAAAAATTGCAGGGGCAGCCCAGGCACCCTAGGCTGCCACCGTAGACACGCCTATGCTCGTCACACACGTCCCCGCGAGTCTATGACAACTATATCGATAAGTACCGTTTCTCAATCTATTGAATGTTTTTTTTTTCACCACTAATAAAAGCTGAATTACACCAGTGCGTTGTCTCGTTGTTTTTTTTTTTGATCCTTTCTTCTTGGTTCACTCACCATCCACGCGGAACCCCACAGGTTCCCATCAGAATCATAACTATACATTTTCTAATGTGTAATTGTATTTAAAAATTACCCGTTTGGTGATTAGCACAAAAACGTTGTCCCGTTGCCTGCAAATTATCATTCATTGATGTTTTATTGTTTTTACATTATTCCCAAGTATCCGTTATGTAAATGCAATGTAATGTCTGTGTAACTATTGTACATTTGTATCTATATATTAGTAAATATTTTTATGTTGCACATAAATTATTATACATAGTATATACATATCGGCGGTTCCGAGTTGCGTGCGAAAATCGTTTTCTGGGTCGAATTGCGTGCGTGGTTTTTTCATAACAGGGTTGAGTTGCGTGCGCGGTTTTTTTGTGACAGAGCAGAGTTGCGTGCGAGATACAGTGTTGATGCCGCACGGTGTGCCAGATTTATTTACACTAAATAATTAAAGAATACATTTACTCTTCGAATACAAATTATTAAAACAATATTAATTAATACAATAAAATTATTTCACCATTTTCACTTAGCTTAAAAAAAAATTTACACAAATGTTTAGTACATGCCCATCTCTGTATGTTGTTATTTAAAAATTTTTGAAACTGAAATTTATACCCGTTAATTATATATAAGTATATAACTTTTAATTTTTTTCGCTTAACATTTGATTCACTTTCATTTTGGTCGCGATTGAGTGTTGAATATCAACTGATATTCAATTCCAATTTCATATAGAATATAGATGGTTTAATATTATTTATAAAATTATCAGCTTATATCTTATTACAGAAAAGTCCCATTCCCTACATAGTACTAGTTACTACTAGTACATACTAGTATTTATAATCAATGATAATACCCATATATAGCTATCATATTAAATACAGATAAATGATTCTCCGGCCGACACATCCAGCTCGGTGAAAACCGGTTGTCTTTAAATAAAATATGCGCACTCAATTCAGCTCTGTCATGAAGAAACCACGCAAGCAATTCGGCTGTGTCTCAAAAAAACCGCGCACGCAATTCGGTTGTTGTCAAACATAGTTCTTTTTTTCTGCACGCAATTCGGATGCAGCCATACACATATTATTTGGTCAAGCCCGGATTAAGGATCAATAATTGGGCCCCGGGACACCTTACACTTAGTAGGCCCCATCTCAACTTTAACTTCAAAATAACATTATTAACGACTTTATATTATTGTATAATTTTTTACCATACAACAAATATACAGGGTGTATCATATGCATTGTACGTGGGTTTTTTTTAACAATTACGAATCGATGATATAGAATTTCGTTATAAAACAAAAAAAGACGTGTTTCTTTATTTTCAAGAGGCAATTTTTTTACATTTTCAAAATGTTTAAACACGCAGTTGTACCAATAATAAAATCGACTTTATTTTTTCAAATGGTAACCACTATATTTTTTGATAGATTCTTGTAAAACTTTTTTTCTGAATAATTTGACATAATTTAATGATCAATTTTGGTTCTCTAGTATGGTCCTCTAAAGTTTAGTTTAATATGCATTAATACTTTTAACTGAAATACCTAATTTACAAGAGCTAAATATTTTTTCTCATAACTACCTACCTTTTTGTATTTATTTAAATAGTTATATCGTTAATCTAAAATGCTCAAAAAAAAAAAACAACAAAATTGTTGGCAAACATTTTTCATTATTTATAGTAATTTTTCGTTGTATAAAATGGAGAACAATTTTATTTTATAATTAAATAACTAAATTATATATAATTCAATTTAATAATTTACCTACTATACCTACCTACTTAAATAATAATTTTTTTTTTTTTTGAAAACTGTATTGGACGCCTTAAAAATATATATATTGGTGATAAAGATGGGCCCCCCTGCCCCCCCCCCCCAATAATCCGGGCTTGTATTTGGTGCTCAATCGTGTTGTAATTAGTCGGGTCCTTAAAAAGTGCGCAATCGTGTTGCAGCGTCTAAAAACCACCCACGAGTCCAGGGAACACTAGACTACTTACCTATAAGCCACACCACATGTTGGCCCTAAGGCCAAGTACTAGGGCCTAAGCCCTAAGGCCCTAAGACCAGGTTAAAACATAATATTATAGGCTTTGAGTACACAGTGAGTTAAAATGAATTAACTCGAAACAAATATAATAGATTAAAAAGGGAGAAATGAGGTTACGCTTTATATAATAAGAATAAAATAATAATATTGAAGTTGAAAGTAATCATGTGGTTGCGTATTTCACATAATATATAATAATAATAATAATATTTAAATGATAATAATTTTGTTCGCGCCGCCATCACCGCCACTCTCATAGTATCATGCACTTATACTTAGGTACTCACGACTCACAGTATAGTCCGCCGACCGAATCATACACACAACACACATTATTATTGTTTTATTTATATCGTATTTGTTATCTCGTGAATTATTATATAATAATAATATGTAGATCACTCGCGATCGGCCGCCGACCAGAGCAATTAACACGGCCGTCTAGTCCAGACAGTCGCGCACCGGTGTCATCGGAAACCGCAAATTATTATTTTGTGTGCCGGTCGTCATTCGTATAGGTATAATATATTGTATCATTTTGTAAGGTTCGAATCGCCAAAATTATAATATTGTGGGCGCGAATGGCCGCATATAATTTTATATTAAATTATACTTGTCTGATGTGGCAAATCTCCACCGTTATTACTTTTTATTATATTATTTTTGTGTGCGCTAAGCGCTACTACGTACTATTTTATATCTTCGGTGTGAACTTAATATTATATTATAGGATAGAAACAGCTGGCCAGTCTCCTCTCCACTATTCTGTGAGTTTTTGTTACACATTATTACTATAGTTTTTTATAAGAATTATACCTATATATCTTCATTCTGTTGGGCCAGGAGGGCCACATATTATTATACTGTAGTTGTTGAATGTAAACAACACACCCTGTATTATATGTAGATTATAAGCAAAATTATGCACACTGTAGTACAGGAGACGCTCAACAGGCATTTTATATTTCTATAGCATATTCGTTCTATGTAGTAGCATGTAGGACGATTAGTCGTTGTTTTATACTACGCCTCGGAGCACTATAGTTATTCGTATCAATTATACATATTATTATATATATATATTACTAGGGATCGGAAGACCTTAAAAATATCAAAAAATGACCTAAAAAAAATGCAAATATAACATAAAAATGACGAAAAATGTCCTCAAAAAATGACCTAAAAAAATTACAAATATTTGTTTTAAATTTATAAAAATACATTTTTTTTAAATATTTTACTCTATTTTACTATAAAATTCTATATACATTTATCAAAGCTTACAAATTTCTCAAAATATGACATAGAAATGACAAATAATGTCCTTAAAAATGAAATAAAAAATATTTGTTTGAAAACGACGTGACGACTGTAATCGGCAAGATAAAATCGGATATTAATCGATTATTAGGAAAAAAATAATAAAATGTAGGTATAATAATATTCACTACAACACGAAAACGACAAAATGTAATCGGCGAGATAAAATCGGATAGGTACTAATCTTAGTCCGTGGTAATTTCCAAGTTTTAAGTTATCGGCATAGGCATTTAACTAGTGTGAAATCAGTAAAAATGACTAAAAATGTCGAAAAATTACCTAAAAATGTCAAAAAATGACTTAAAAGTAAAAAAAAACCAAAAAATGCATAAAAATGCAAGATAAAATTTAGTTTTTCAGATTCACATGCTAATGAAACGCATTTGTGGCCAGGAGAGCATCGTCTTAAAAGTTCCAAAAAAAAATGCAAAATGCCTCAACTTCCGAGCCCTATATATTACATAATATATCCGATCTTATTAAATTTTGGCAATGTTAACGGAAAGACAGGCGAAACAGTAATAATCCAGTTTTACAAAATAGATACAATTCTCGTACCCCGATGAAAACTAATAATAATATTAATAGGTATATCACCACCTATATCACTACATTACGATGTTTAAAATGTTTAATTTTAGCCATGATGTTGGCGGAAAGACACGCGATACTATAATAATTCAATTAACATTTTCTATAATAATATGTAGGAACTTATATATGTATAAATAAATATATATATATATATACTTTTTTCGTACCTGGTGAAATAATATATTACGTATTATGTTTACGATATTTACGATTTTATAATAATAGTATTAACAATAATATTGTATTAAAATACCGTAGTATAGCAATAATGGCCGCGTAATTCGCTAAACCAAAATACCCGTATAGCCGCTATCATTAAAAGTTAATATAAATAGACGGTTTTGCGGTTTTATGGATTGGGTGGTTTTGAAAAAAATCGTCGGCCGACCGCGAATATCGCGGCGGATTAATTCGCGGCGAACTCATATAGCCTGTCCGATTTAATCATATAGGTTTTCGATGACGGC